GCGCTTTTTTATTTGTAGGGACCCCTCCAACATATATTACTGGATCCTGGAATACACGGTTTATATCTATCTATCTATCTATCTATCTATCTATCTATCTATCTATCTATCTATCTATCTATCTATCTATCTATCTATCTATCTATCTATCTATCTATCTATCTATCCATCCATCCATCCATCCATCCATCCATCCATCCATCCATCCATCCATCCATCCATCCATCCATTCATCCATCCATCCATCCATCCATCCATCTCTCTCTCTCTCTCTCTCTCTCTCTCTCTCTCTCTCTCTCTCTCTCTCTCTATATATATATATATATATATATATATATATATATATATATATATATATATATATATATATATATATATATATAATGCTGAGACGAAACTGTCTATTCCAGGATCCTGTAATATATGTTTGGGTACATGAGTATATGAATAAAATATTTATACAGTTATACAGAAAAATCTCACAGCTTATGTAATTATAATTCGTGCAATCAGGAATTAATCCAATATAACTCTCTAATCTTTATGATCATATTGATATATAAGTGTAAATTTAAAATGAAGACGTTTTTCGAAGCGCCATGGATATCAATGTTTGTTGTATATCTCTATTTTTGTAACTTCTGGTACATGATTTTATCTAAGTTTATAATCTTCTATTCATGGCTGTAAATTGTACAAAATAGTTTTAGTTACTTTTGCCTACGCTTCCCGAATCTAAATAGCTTCCTACATATGTAATGACAATTGATAATAATGATTTTAATAAAAAGACTTACTGGTATGTATGGCTCAATTTCTCGTTGGCTGTTGAGGTTTGGTCTTTTCTAGCAGAATTCATTAATTATGCAAGGTTGACGCAAAATGAGTAGTAAGTTCCGTCACGTGGGGTATATTACAAAATGTAACCAAATTAGACTGTATAAAAAGAGAGACCTGCACAATTAGTTTCATTGTAATTGGAGTCATTAACATTTCTATTGTCAAGTATGCAGACGTGTTTTATGTTGTACTTAGATATTATTCGAGAGGAAATAATGTTTTTTTTTTAGGGGGGGGGATAGTGCAGTGGAAGCAGAAAGTGTTCATCATTTGGACTATAATAGTATTCTGAAGCTTATAAATTATTCAAATAAATTCAAAGCAATGCATCTTGACAACATCACTTTTCTTTGGCGACCAGTATATTTCTGTTATTGAAATTTATATGGAGCTTTTTTATTCATTTAAGACTTTCATATACCTTTATAAGAATTATTATCGATTCACTTTGGGTGGATTTCACTGGGTTCATTTCTGGTATTTATTCTGAAACACGAAAAGTTGAAGTATAAAGTGCTACAATTGTACGTTTTGCACGCAAATGCGTGTACTTAATGTAAATGCCTTATTTATGAACGAAAATGTACTCTGTTTAGTTGCCGCGTAAAGTGTTACCCGAGGGTGGATTGTTTTCTTTTCTTTAGCTATCATAAATTTGAGTTCGGTTCACCCAATCTTACATGAATAAATTGCTGGCAGTAAGTAAGTCATATACATCTCTGTGGATTTTCAATTTCAGCTTCTGTTATAACAGAGTCAACTGTTAGCAGAGAATGCAACGGAGGGAGTGTAGAGAGGGCGAATCGGATACATTTGAGGATGGTCCCATTCGTGAAATCAACGCGTTTTCAAAAATTACGTATAATACCTGGAAAGATAAACCGAGGCCTCTAACGTGTCGATTACCCCATCACTTTATCCACCAGTAACCTTGTGTGTCAAATTTCCATGGAAGTTATCATTCATCACCTGTGACATCGGTGTTGGACCTTATCCTCCCTTCTGCAAGTGTGGAGCTAGCTCAGCGGTATGGGTCTGTGGTGTGCATGCTAACAGGCTGTCAGGTGACGTAATAAATCGCTGATATATCAATAGCAATGAGTGGATCTGCGTTAACTATGGAATTTCGTTAAGGTAGACTATTTCGAGAACGACTAGAGGGAATTAAGAAATATCTTTCACGTCCCTGGTTCTATCAAACAACAAATAAAAGTGCGTCTTGAGTCCCAAGTGGAATTTACGGAAGTTAAAGAAGAGTTATTTAAACCAGTTGTTGAACCAACCAAGAAAATTCATACAGCAAGTGAGTCATCACAAAAAGCTCTTAAGACATTGCCTGCGGATATCATCGGTCGTCTTCGAGCTCGATCACTACCCTCCTCAACCACAAATCGAGCAGGCAATAATTCACGACAAATCTTCAATAAAACAGTTGTTGTTTGTTAGAGATCGTATACAAGTGGTATCACAGGCATTAATGTTGATCGGGCACTTGTCGATGAAATTACTGATGTTTCTACAGCGTCTGAGACGGTCACTTCAATAACGACATTCGCTAGCGAATTCATTCATGCAATCAGATCAGTGACAAGAAAATAATATAATTATACACAATGCTCAACGTGGACCTGTAATGGTCAGGGTGAGAAATTCGCGGTTGCAAACATATGAAGATGCAAATAAACTGTTTAAAGAATTATTTGGCGTGCCATTAATAAAACAGCAAACTGTTGAGAGAGACAAAATAGAACAGCAAATGTTATAGCAGGTAGTGGTCTTAATTCACCAGTGAATCGTCGATGTCGAATATAACAGCAAATATAATAAAATGTTCAAGCGTGTATCTGATCCCGCATTTGACATGGACGCACCCATCCTCAAAGATGGGTCGGTGCTTGATTATCAGTATTATTCTTATTATTATTCTTATACTATGACGCAAATGGAAGAATCTAACTGTAAGTTTAGGATACAAGCATATATTTCTTGCCCGCTGAAACATTCATTGAGATCGAAGGTCAACTTTTAAAACAACTAAGACAGCATTTGGAATTGGTGATCGAGTTCGTTTTGTTTATAATGGTGCTCTGGCGTTTTTTCTAACAGTGCCACAAACGTGATTGACGGAAAGAATGTTTAAACATATCTTGATAATTTTTACGTTGCTATGACAATTATAGGACTATCCCGATATCGCGATGATTATTCGTTGTTCGCTGGTCCATCAGTGATGTTCAATAAGGGTACCACTAATCAACACGAGAACCGTAACAGAATAATGAGCGCCTCTAGAACTTAAGTTGCATCAATGAATGAAAATTTCAACCAAAGATTCTCAGCATGTCGCTCGATATTAAACGGCGATAAAGCATTTTCATGTGCTATTCCATTATCACATATCTTTGGATATTGCTGCAACGTGAGAAAACTTATTTTCGGTGCTAAACCTCCGACAACAACGAAATCTGGCGTCCAAATACAGTTGATGCTGCTAAAGTAAAACTAATAAAACTTTTGTTGTTGATATCAATAATACCTCCATCGCTTACTGAAGAGCAACGGTTGCTCCTTTTTCATGGACTCAGTTGCTAAATCAACGTTGCGACGGTTGAGTATGACTACAGACAGTATTTAAAGTAATGGTGTTGGGTTATTTACATGACAGATGGAATCTCAGCAGTGAGTTTAACCACCACTTCCTGTATTCATAGCGCTTCATGATAATATCAGCAGGAACAAATTCCGATGGTGTTTGACACGTTTGGGAATTAGTGAAATTTCTGTGTGAATAAACGGACTTCAATAACCATCTAAAGAAGTATTATGAATGTTCATTTTGCAATTATGTTCACGTTTGATGACATTCATCGCGCGTGATCAGAATATTGATTCCGGTTTGCAAATATCTCAGTCGATTTTATAACATTATATTCTATCTACTATTTAGAATACTTGGATTTGTTTAATCAGTTGCTGACATACATTTGCGAGCCCGTGTAGCACTACTGACCGCTGACGGTTATAGAGCAATCGCTGTTATACTGTCAGACTAAACTGCACAACTCGAAGATCGTTGATGTGCCTGTAGAAAATATATAATCCAACTGCAAAGCTACATGTCAATGTTACTCTGACACCTAGTCAGATTAAAGAGATACAGTCAGCACCGGAAAAAGAGGTTTGGAATAGAGATAGTAATTAAATCAACTGCATTGCAAGGCCAAAACAAATTATCACTGAAAGAACATCATTTCAATGACGCTAGCAAATCAAAGACTGGTATCAGATATGATCTGCGGATGCCATCAATGATATAGCAAATACTGGTGGTATATTTCCACTTCTTGAAGCTCTTCCAGCTTTGAAATTCCATCTGTTTGCAGCTGCGTTTGGTGCTGTTGAAACTGCTGTTGCGATGGCACTGAAGAAAGCAACAGGACAGAACCTGGTGCTAACACCATGAAGAGCCTCAAAAAAAAAAAAAGAAATTCACAAAACGTAAAGTCAAAGAGAAATCTTAGGCTGCCAGAAACGTTTCTCTAAGCAAGCTTCATATATCCAGTTTCGATTTGCTTGATGCTGCCTCTCCATTAAATATCAAAACCTTTCGAAGAGTTTGCATGCGTGATCAGTTTCCAAAACAGCCAAATAGTATTGAAACGCGTATCATAAATATTGATGGATGTTTCCACCTTGAAACTGACTTAGTTGCATATAATGTTGATCCACGTAGTGTTATATATTTTGATTCATATAAATTGCACCACCAGAAAGCTTGCAGTGTCAAGAACTTTGGTATTCAACATTGATCTAATGCGCATCGCCAGAGTTGACCGATCAGCAAGCTTATCTTGCGTCACATATGTGTCTTCTGTCTTGTATCTACGGCTAGCGGTAAGGTTTAGAAACACAAGATGTTTATGTCGCATATTTTGAGAAATGAATATTACTAGGTTTCTAAACCCTACCACAAGCCGAAGATGATCTTCCATAAATATCTATCATTATATACTAAGGGCTGTTCACTAGTGAACGCGTGTGCAACTTTCTGCGGTGGTGGAACATTGGTAGCCCACGACCTTGATATGCCTTCTAGAATAGCTAACGATTCATGACCACTTATAGGTGGATCTCTTATTGTGTGTGTTGGTAAAATATCTGCTCCGGTGGCCTAGGGGTTAGAGCGTCCGCCTCGGGTGCGGAAGGTTGTAGGTTCGATTCTCGGTCGAGTCATAGCAAAGACTTACAAAAATGGTACTAACAGCTGCCTCGCTTGACGCTCAGCATTAAGAGGTTAGTGTTAGGACTGGTCGGCCTGGTGTCAGGATAATGTGACTGGGTGGGCCATCATGTGACATGTTACATAACTGCGGCATGATGCCCCAGTGTAAGAAATCACTATAAACTGCCACACTGCAGACATCGTAGCGATATGACTGAAAATATTGTTAAAGCTAGGTTTAAAAATTTATAAACACCCCCCCCCAGAGTTGACCAGTATGAGGTTGTTGTCATTCAGGACATGCACGTGTGTCTAAAGACAATGAATATCAAATGAGCCGATATTTTCCTGCGAGTTTCAGGTACGACCAACAATAACATCACGTTATTTACCGGCAAAGGAAGAATCAAAGACTCAGGCCTATCACTCTCGATTGTCAACAGTGATCACATTAGACGTGTGGATATGCCTAATTAAAATTACTGCTCTTCATCTTCAAGAATCACAAATAGACGATGGCGCTACAAAAAAGAAATACGTGGACAACAACCACATCTCGATAAGGACCTCTCTAAAAACAATCAGTGATGCATTGACCAAATTCAGATATGAATATAATAATTATATAACCGTGTTTACGAATTTTAGCAGAAACATAAGTAGAGTCGATACTGATTTATTTAGAAATCAAATGGTCTCAGGCGTTAAGCTCGCAGAAATCGAAGACAAATTCAAAGAGGTATCGGAGCTTAAGTTAACGGCAGAGTTGCTGGTACATTTAATATTATTGCTGGAAAATTGTTCGAATCCATTGCGGCATTAACGTCTGCGGCACATACACATACTCATTTTTTATCTCTGTTATCTACAGGGATAAATGATGCGATGTGGAGTTTGCCGAAATGACCAGCGTTTATTATGGTCTAATTCAGCGCTTGACTTTAAGTCAGGCCGGTCAGACAGCCTACCACAAAATAATGTCCCAAACTGATCGATCAATGCTATTACTGGAATAGATTGTAATACAACACCACTAGTAGTCGTTAGATATCAGCGATGATATCAGCGGCGTCAACGAAGCGAGAGTGTGATGTTATTTTTCCCACTGCTGTCCCAACCAAGAAATCGCACTGGCACAATTGCTAGTCTATTACAGCTGGCCAAATACAAGCAAGGTCGTTTGGTGGGTTATTCGCAAATAATTCACTAGTATTTGGCTATATAAAGAATCTGATGGAACACCAGACCGGAATATTGTTAGTATTCCAACAGGAGGTTATGAAATCGAAGAAATAAATGATGAATTTCAACGCAGAATTAAATGTATCACAGGAAAAGAATCCAAGATAGCAATAACAGTACACGAGTCTACGTTATGTGCCGCAATATAAACATCAACGCCAGATTATGCCGCAGATATATATATATATATATATATATATATATATATATATATATATATATATATATATATATATATATATATATATATATATATATATATCAGTCATCCATTAAAACTGTGTTAGGATGGTCACTAGAAATTCCTACTCAAGCTGAATTTACGTAACATCAGCGGTCTGATTTTATCACAGACAAACCTGCATTCGCAAAATATCCAGAATATAATCTTAATGCATGGAAGGATGTACAACGCGATATAACTTTCCATGTTGATAGTAAAAATTATATCGAATAGAAATTATATGTAACACTGAAGAAAAATTATATCGAATAGAAATTATATGTAACACTGAAGAAATACTAAAACAGAAAACTTCGGATGAATGTTCTTGTATAAGGGTGGCTAATGCAATAATATAACAACATAGGCCCGTACGTGACGAATTACAACAATTATGTTACCAGTACACATGAGTTTCCAAATATAATCGTAAACAAAAATATCATTACAACGATACATTTTAACCAGGTATAATCTGACGCTGAATTATTTAATGAAAATGTGATATAGATAGTAATCCATAAAAGTTACGATATGAGAAAATGCATTACAACTTGACCCCATCAATTTTATCTAGATGATAAATACAAAGATGATTTTCTTGCATATTTTAAGATCACAGAGGCAGATTTGTCGATTTTAAAATACCCTGGCAAAATTTTGATGATAACCTGCTGTCATTGCGATCATTGATAAATATTTTCCGAAAAACCAGTTACTTTAAAATATAACAAGTTTGATAGCGGACAGTGACGTCATATATCATCGGGTGTTGTCAACATCACATCAATGATATCCTTGAACCTAGTTTGTGATGCTGTTGATGGTAGTTTTCAAGTAGATCTTGAGAAATCCAATGAAGTGCAACCTGGGATTACATCCCAGGGATATATTCTGTACATATCTACCCTTGATGTTCCCCTGGCTATTTGATTGTGTCAGTACATGTTAGTTCTATGTATTTTACGATGTCATTATTCGCTATTGTCACGGATACATTTGAGACTTACAGACGAAGCCAATCATCCTTTGGACAGAAAAAAATGAGCATATATCTCTTAGTTTGTATGTGCACGATTCAGTCGCAATGCGATAGGGTCTCGTATAGAGCTCTAGTCTTCTCATACAAATCAGGGACAAGGGCTAGGACACGGACTCCTTAACTCTGTCTAAGATGTTTAAGGTTCTGCACAATAATAAATATATTTTGACGTATTTATTTTTTACTACCCCACCCCCTTTTATGTCACCAGGGACCACTAAACACCACCTTACCTATCAATGAAACGCTGTCTAATTATTATCGGTCACATTCCATATCCTGTTAATGAAACGCGCTCTATTATTATTAGAAGGTGATATCAGACACGGTATCACAATTGGACGTCTCACGTTCTGACTGTTTACAATCCGACTGTTTACAAGCATACATAACTTTGATCTAACTGATCTAATTCGCTCCTTTGAAATTGAAAAATGGGCAAAATCTTGGATTTGTGAATCATCAACCTTATATAATGTTATAGCTTTTTGAAGCAATTCAATAAACCTATACTCGCTAATTAGACTATACTACCCATCGTATTTTCTTCCTTGTATTATTTTAAAATCATCCGTGATTTTTTTACGGGTCAAGCTGTTAGTTAAGTTTTTATTGTTTAATTTTTCAATAATATCATTCACATTTTCGCAAATCATTAAATAATAAATATATATTTAAAATTAAAAATAATAAAAATTTTATGCTTTACTATTTACACTATATACAGAACATTCCTAATTTTTGCGAAATTCATGAATAAAAAAATACGCATACATGATCTATTTTAACTCTAGCATTCCTAATGTTTGCGGAATGCATGGACCGTACACTACAGATACTTAATCTATCATAACTATAGCATTCCTAATATTTGCGGAATGCATGAATAAAAAAATACGCATACATGATCTATTTTAACTCTAGCATTCCTAATGTTTGCGGAATGCATGGACCGTACATTACAGATACTTAATCTATCATAACTATAGCATTCCTAATATTTGCGGAATGCATGGACAGTACACTACAGATATTGGATCTATCTCGACTCTAGTAGCATATATACAGATTCAAGCTATTTACAGCACCACTATATACATTTAGTAATGATCAAATAATTCAAGCTATTTACAGTATTATTGCATCATTATATGCTACCGTGGGGTGGGGGTGATGCGACTTTCAATACCATGATCACATATGCATAGATTCGAAACGAAATTCTACACATTCAGAAGGCTGTTCCAAGTTCTTACTCACCGTGTTCCACAAGTGAAAGGGCTCCAGTGAAACGCGATATGTACTGATCACTTTAAAGTTTTTTGCACACCATCCTCAATATCAAATCCCGGGAAGTGCAAAATCAGCACCCACTACGTTATATGATGCAGTGAAATATGAACAAAATGTATCCCTGATTAACACACTTTTTTCTGTTGAATTTCGAGCTTTGGATTTGGAGTCTACACTTTATTAAAACTTTATTGCAACACCATAAGTCGGTATGAAGAGAGATAACTCCCTTAAGATTAAACAGTACCAATCCAGTATCCTCGCTTGTATTTGTGTTACAAAACAGTGCTATCAACTGCATAATAAATATTTAATATTCTGTAATGGCGGTGGTTTACAATCATATTTTTTCTTCAGGTTACTGTATTCTTTAAAAACGTTTTCCTTTTCCGAACACAAGGCTTAGGTGACTAGTGCTATGGACAATAATAGCCGTGGTTGTCTTTATTAAATATAGACCACGCTCCCAAATTCTAATTTTGGATTTGCAGGTATTATACACAATTGGAGTCGAATGTTTCCGATTAACTTAATATTCCCGTGAGTTTAGATTATGCATATTTTACCATTGAAATGCGTTTAAAAATAATAGAAATGAAGAAAAAGAGATTTGTCGAATGTTTTTGACTCCATTTTGTTACAAAATTTTCAAATTATGCTGGGTAATTTTTGAAACATATATTAAAAAGACAGCTCTGTAGCGGTGAGTTTAGAGATGCTGATTGCGCAAAATTAGTATGACTGATAACATAGCTTATATTATAAGTCTCTAGATGAAATGTTTTTAATCCCATCAGTGAACATAGGTGTGCAGTATTCATAATAAAACCGACAGGGGTTTTTCTTTCACGTTGCCCTCTATGTCTCATTATTCTTAATGATAGGATTTGCTCTGACTTCATCGACGTTATTTCCTTGCTCCATTTCTATATTATATGTTCCATGTCTAAATTAAAATTTTATATTACCAAAATGAAAAACAAAATACTCGGATTGCCTGCTAGCAAACCGACTACACATAAAATCTAGAGATAGTCCTTCGAGTATTTTAATGGAGATTCATGGGAATCATTTCTTTAAAAATCATAATACCGTTTCAGAGCTCTGTATTTTCTACATCCCCTTTATACGGAAAACCCCGTGTTCCCCCTGACCCCCTTATAGCATTTCAAACATGGTTATGGTAAAGACTCCCCCGTCGTACTCAGAAA